GATAAAAGTAGGGTGGTTACCAGGGTTACTTTTTCAAAACTTTGACTTAACTCACATACAGAAAAATATAGGACACTTGTTAATGAGTTGAAATATTTAAGTACTTCATGAATTTAGTATAAAACGTTTAAAACAATGCTGACATGTGTAAGTGCCCAAAAATAATTTTATCAACTAGTGCTGTTGTATCAATATTATTCTTATGCTTTAACTATACAAATATCTTGAATAAAATATTAGTTAATGTATCTTTTCCAAGAATTTTCAACAATATTTCACAGGATTAATTTTATTAATATAACTATGTCAATAGACGATGAAGAAAAGCATAAAATTATCTTAAAAGGCATGGTCAAGAGATAGTCAATAAAATTTAACAGTTATTTGTGACTTGTTGGCCTTTCAGAAATTCAGAAATAAAATTAAACTTCCTTTGCATTATGACTAGATAAATACATAGATATTATATTAAACAGATAAAAAAGAACATAAAACCATAAAATAATATTTCCTGCTCTCTTCCTCCTGATTTTAACGAGGATCTTTAGGCTGCTTATTTATTAGTCATTAGTGGTATGGTAATCATTGCCAATATGAAACAACAAAAACAGCTAATATAAACAGTGGGATTTGAAAGAAAAGATTTTAATATTCCCAATCACAAAATTTTACAGCTAACAAATCAAAGCGGATCCTATGAAAAATTGAATGCTTGGTACATGGTATGCAATCAGTAAATTTTAGCCTTAGAAAAAGTAACCCAAAATGTTTAAAAATCACCCTAAAATGGTATTATCAAAACCAGAAGAAAAACGTCAAAAGAACAAAAACTACAGATCATTATCTCTTATGACTATACTATACTTCTATGACTATACTATATTGTCAAATCAGATCTAGTAGGATACAAAAAGATTATACAACATAGCCAAGTAGTATTAATTCCACGATACCAGCTTGATATAACATTCAAAAAGCAATTCATGCATACACCATATCAATAGAGCAAAGAACAAAAACTGCAAGACCATTTCAAAAGATATAAAAATAGAACATGAAAAAGTTCAACATGCTTTCATAATAAAAGTACTAAACAAAAAGGAGTAGAAAAGGCAACTCCCTCAACCTGATAAATAATATCTACAAAAACAAGAGAATACCTCCAACCTAAGGAACAGCATCTATGAAAACTCAGAGGAACTTAACAGTTTTCATAGTGACAACTGCAAACTTACCTCCTCAGATCATAAATAAGATGAGGACAACTGTTCTCACCATTTCTATCCAACAGGGCACTCAAATTTCCTGCCAGGATAACTGCACAAGAAAACGAAATAAAATGCATGCAGGTATGTACCTATGTGTTTCCTCTTTGAGTTAGGTCCCCCTTTCCCTATAATTCAGATATTTCTTTGCATCTTCCACCACTTTCTCAAAGGGTGAAACTGTCTCTATTTGCAGAATATATGGCCTTATATGTAAAATTCCTAAGCAATCCAGAAATTATAATTCACAAATTAGTTTAACAAGGTTGCAAAATGCAAGATGAATATTCAAAAATTATTTGCATATTCATAGAGGCAATGAGTAATGAGCTTAAATTAAGAAAATAATCCCATATCCCAGTTATGGAAAACATACATTTAATTTGCTCTGACCATAAGCAATACAATCACAATCACACATGAAAGAATCACTCAAAGAACGTGGATGTCTGACTTTCCAAGTCAACAATCTGCCCCCCAAGTAACTAGAACTTCTGCTATGGAATAAAGAAGAGCTCCAAATGCATGATTCTCTTCCCATACAGCTGCAAATGTGCCCACCCGTGTCCATGGTAAAATGTCTACAGAACTACTTGCTTCTCTAAACATTTGTTGTGGTCTGTCTGGATGTCTCCCCAAAGCCTCATGAAGTCAAAGGGAGTAGGCTTTTCATAGGTGGCTGAGTCTAGAGTTTGTGATGGATGCATGGTCCAATATTGGTATTAAAGGTGTGAGTGTTACACCTGCCCTAGGGCAGGTAGCCTGCATACACTAGAAGAGAAAAAACAGTCTTCTCCCCCCTCTCTCTGTTGTTGTTTTTGCTGTCTTCTGCTGCCATGAACTGCTGCCCCTCTGCCATGAGCCACCCTGCCTTGGAGCCACTAATTAAGGATTGAAACCTCCACACACTGTGAGCTAAATAAATATTTCCTCCTTTAACTCTGTGTGTCAGGTATTTTGACTCTACAATGAGAAAAGTAAGTAATACTTATCTTAATAATAAAAGGAAGTTGAAATGATGAAAGATTCTCACATGCTACAGACTGGAACATTTGGGAGGTTCCGGTAAATAGCTTAATTCTTAAATATATATTAATATAAAACCTTCATTCTTTTGTTCTACTCCTTTTCTTCACTACATATATATTAACCGTCTTCAGGGTGGAAATCAGGACTTCTGTGCAGCACACAGCTACTACATTTCAAACCCCATAGTTTGCGCTTTGCTTTGATTAAAAAATACAGAGAGCACCATAAAATCCAGAGGGAGATCTACTTTCTATCTTTTCACATTCATTTTGTTTATGAGTCAGTATCTCAGGTTTCTTGTTATAATAAAACATGTTCAAATGAATCTCCATTCAGCAGTCTCAGATTCTATTACAGACCTACTAAGGATACTGTAAAGCTTTTCCCACAGTAAGATTTCTTTTTAGTTCCAAAAGGGAAAACCAGCAAATAAGAGTCTGGAGACACAAGGAGAAGAAATATGCATCCATTAAACGATCAGTCATCAGTGCACACTACCTTTTCCATCCTTACCGCAATGCTCCAAAGTGCGTTATTACCCACACTTGAGCTGAGGAAAACTGATGTTCCCAGACAGTCCATAGCTGTTGCCACAAAACTAGACCTGGAACTCGAGTCTCTTCTGGTCTACATCTGAGAGCTGTGCTCCTTCTCCTAAAATGAGTCATTCCCCACACCTATATCCTGCTTTTGAAGTGCTCTACTCTGCCTTCTCAGGAAATACCTGAAGATATGCATTCTGGACACAGCATTTGTATGGTCCTCCTATTGAGCAGCCAAACAGCACAAGACCAATGATGCAGGACCCAGCCTCTCCCTAACTGTGAATCTGAGACCTGGCTTGACACTCGACCCCCAACATTCAGCATGTCTTTAAACCAACTCATATCTCTCACAGACATGTGCATCATCTTGCATTCTCTGGGATTACCCCAAAACAATCTACTCATAATGTTGACAAAATCCAGCCTAAAGGATCTGGGTGAGTCATAAGCTCTAGCGGCTGAAGTGAAATTACTCACAAAAAAGATACACAACTACTGATTAACACATTTAATGAAAATGTGCAGGAAAACATTTTCAGCACCCACCAAGTTAGGGTGTCCACTCCCTTTCCAGTGAAAAACTGTATTTCCTCACATTTTTTTTTACCTCAGAGAGGTGCACAGTGTTGACAGCCCGACACAGCTTCCTCCCTCCCTGACTGCTGGAAGTCCATGTGTTCCTCAGCAGTCATCTCTCTACATGGCCTTCTTCATCCACTGACCTAACGAGCAGGGTTCAGCGAGCTTAGTACATCCACGTGATTTCAAAATTAGCCCCACACTGCCTGCAACACCACCCTGCTGCTCCTTTATTACTCACTCTTCAGTGCATTAGCTTTTAGGAGGTCAGCCTGGCCTGCCACGCTGCCAAACTCCCCACAAAACCTGCTTCAGCACCTTGGACAGAGATGGCTCTTGAGAAATATTTTCAACAGACCAGTATGGAGGAAGTCACTCCTAAAATTTTAACCTGTTCAAATTAACTAAAAATCATTATTTTAATGGGGTGACCTTTCTCAAACTTATGACTCATTTTCCCTGGGGACTTTAGTCCCAGTGTTTCAACAAGGCATTGATGTTTTGTAATAACTTGACTTCCCCCTACCTTTGCAATCCCACTCCTCAGAGTCTACCCCAAATCTCATCCTGTTTCCCACAAACTTTGTAGGTTGCAGTCACTTATCACCAACATGGTTTTTTCCAACCATGTTCCTGCATGAAGCCTTTCTTGGCTGCTGAAGTCCTAAGACACATGACTTTAAGGTTTACCTTCAGTCCCTGCACACAAGCATGCAACCCTGTATCTGCAGTGCTTTGTGCTATTTACTTGTCCACATTCCTTAACAGGTTATGCAATCTTGGGCATCAAAATTCAGAATTATACACCTGAATATTCTCAGTACCAAGCACAGATCCCACTTACATACAGGAAAAATCCTTAAAAGTTGTTAAATGCACACAATTAACTTGCTCGACGCCTTACACGTGGCATCCTCAGACAGGATGTGATTTTCTATGAACAGTCGACCACAGAGTAGGTGAGAAAGGCTCTCAGGGGTGGGCCTTGGATGGCAAAGGAGAAAGTCACTTTACCCAAAGTCAGCTCTGTATTTTTATTTTTAAACTTTATTTCGATGTATTTGTTATGAGTGCATGTTTGGAGGACACAGTGCTTATATTCCTCCTAAGGAGCTGGTGCAGGTATATATCTTCAGTCCTGTATTTCTCTTTGTTTTCCTTCCCTCACCCTCCCTCTATCTCTTGGTCCTTTCCGCATGTGAGAAAGATCATCCTACTTCCTACTATCTGCATTTTATTTTTCTCTTTATTGCTAACTTGGATTGCCCATATAAGAGAAACCATGTGACAGATAAGTTCCTGTGTCTTATTTAATTCACTTAGCACTGTGCTCTCTAGGTGCATCCGTTTTCCTACTATGACTCAAAATTGTCCTTTGTGCAGAGTAGCACCCATTGTGTGCCAACACCACATTTCCTTTATTCAGTCATCTGTTGGTGAAGTAAATCCAGTAATGTGGTGAACAGCAACCAAAGTTCGCCTAGCCAGAAATTCCCTAGAGCTTCTACCTCTCACCTCTAAAGCACCTTGCAGAGTCCACTAACTCCAAGCAGGTTTTCAAGAGCAGGAGAAGCTTTCCTACCTGTGCTCCAGGTCTCGAATGGACAGTATCACACCTGAAGTCGACGGCTTCTGCTGTACGGTGGCCAAAAAGGTGAATTCACTCTTATTCTGGAACAACTGAATTAATTTCTCACTCACATGAGGAGCTGCATGGATCTCTCTTTCTTTATCTAGGAGATGAGAAGGAGGAGGACGGGAGAGAAGACAGGAGAGGACAGGAGGGGAGAAGGGTTACAGAAAGAGAGAAGGGAACATGAGAAAGAAGAGAGCAAAGGTCCACAGTTTAAAACATTGTGTTTATGGATCCAGGTCACATTTCCCATTTCCCCTCCCATCAACAGTTTTTATTTTCAGGCACTATTCACCCACAGTCATTCCATGCAAACCCTGGAAATGCTATCCCTGTCACCGTGCCCAGTTTACAATGGGCCAGACTGTGATTTTCTGACATGAATGTTGACAGAACACTGAGCCAGTCAGCCTGATGCAAGCAGAGCAGGGTGCTGGAGGGCAAATGTCGGTCAGATAAATGGGGTTCAAAGTTCAGAGGTTCTGGGATCCAGCAGAGGCTAAATGCCACTGAGTGCCACCCATGCTCACTCTTCTCCTGGGCTTGGTTTCCCTCTTCCCATAGTGCTCCTAGGAAACACGTCCATGTCTGGTACCTAGCTGAGATTTACGAGCACCAGTAACACCAGACAGCTCTGCCTTTTTTGGAGAATAAACACAAGACTTGCTCGTGCTCCGAAAGCATGCGTGGAATTTCTCTGTTTAGGTGCCATTGATGACTCTCATGAAATATTTATGACAGTGGAGACCAACTCAGCAAGCCTAGAGGTGTGTGAGTTCAGCTAATCCTGCTCCTGGACGGAATCTCCTCTCCAATACTAGGAAAATGAGATACATCAACCATTTCCCTCTCAGCCTCAAAGCCTCGCTATCTTAAACAGGTATTATGTCATTACTGCACACGGCATCTCCTGGCATGAGAAAGGAGCACAGAGGACACGAAGTTAAAGAAGACTACTCAGAGGATGACAGAGGAAGGTCACAGGAGGACCGGGTGGTCTCCTCTTCACCCTGACCATCTCTTTGTACTGTATGACAACTACTTGGTTATTTCTCCAGCCCTGCATGAGTAGCCTTTGAAAAACACAAAACTTCAGAGGCTGCACTGCTCAAGGAGCACCTAAAACTTGTGTGACAACCCTGAAGAATCTCAGTGGCTCCTAAAGGAGAAGTCCTTGAATTCTTGACCTTGAGCCCCTGTCTTCTTATCTGCAAAGAGGGAGGAAGGACCAGGCCTCTCTGCAAGCCCTCCCAGCCTACCTTGTAATACTATGAACTGCCACTTCATGTAAATAACACAAAAGGGAACACCAGTCTTTTCCCAGCTATAAAATTTTAGGCTGTGAATGGAAAAAACAAGGAGTCTGCTACCACGCGAGCAGCCAATTCACGAAAAGAACCCCACCTGCAATCTGTTTGGGGTACTGGGGTCTGAAGCCCAGTGAGCCGCCTCACTAGCCTTTTTATATTTTTATTTTGAGACAAGGTCTCTCTAACATGTCCAGGCTGATTTTGGATTTGCAATCGTCTTCCCCAGTCTCCCAGAGTGCTGATCTACACCACTTGTGCACCCACCTAGCATTTGCTTTTTGGCCTGAAGAAATGCCTTCCTTATTGCTAAGGGGCAAACTGTGTTAGCCTTCATCCAGAGCTCAGACAAGCAACAGTCACTTAAAGAATATTTTTTTATTTTTGCCCTGCTAATCAAACTCAGGACCTTATGCTTCCCAGGCAGACGCTGTGCCACTGAGCTATATCCTCAGTGTAAGAATATTTTTATCCCTTCTATGGATTCCCAGATGATACATCCCAGGATAATATGCAAAATTTATTAAATATATAAACAAACTATTTTGCAAACAAGAGAATATTAGTAAATTTTAAAACATTTTTATTATCATTTCTGCTAGGTAAAACTGTAGTAAAGGCTGCCCAGAATTTAGTGGCAGAACAGTTAGACTTGAAGGAGGTGGAGCTCTCTTATCTGCTTACTTCCTCACTCATCAAATAGGACTCTACTGATTGGTGGTGGGGACCTAGAAACCTCATTACAGGATTGTGCTACTCGGATCCAAAAGAGGGCATGATCAATCAGCAAAACCTGCTGGAGAGAAGCTATAAACATCATTCCCAGCATGAGTATAATCACCTCAGTATTCCTAGGAATTGATCTTGCAGTGTCATGACCTATGACCTCCATATTTACAACTGCAACGTTAAACTCTCCCTTAAGCAACAGTCATAGATCCAATCTCCCGCCACTACCTATCTGCAAGAGATTAATGAACATTTCAAATTGCATTTGCCCACAACAGAACTCTAGTTCTTTCCAACAACCTTCTGTCTTCACCTAGAATTCCCAGTCTTTGTAAATGGTAACCCTAAGTTCTTTGAGCCAATGAAACTAAAGAATTCACTTGATTCTTCCCAGCTCTGCACCTTGTGTTCTGATCCAAGAGCAAATTGTGAGGACTCCCAGGCCTGAAGTCTGTTGACTACTTCCCTACTTCTCTCTGACAACTCTCACCCAAGACAGTAAGGTTGCTCCCCTGACACTTCAGTTTCCTAACTCGTCTTGTCTCTGTGTTTCCCATAAGAACTTTTCTTTTCCTTGTTTTCCACACAACAGCCAAAATGCTCTTTTTAAAATATATGTCCAAATCATTTTAGTTACTGCATAAAATTCTCCAATGGCTTTTCACTACTCATGGGATAAAACTCCGCTCCATTTCCATTATCTGCAAAATCACACACACACACACACACACACACACACACACACACACACACACACACAAGGGATTATGCCTGCATCTCCCCTTCCATCTCATACTCTTCTCTCGGGGCACTAGAGGAGCCACCAAGAGCACTCCTGCTCCAGAACTCTAGACTTTTCCCCCTTTTCCAAGCACACTTCTGCCACCTTCTCACATGTCTGGTTCCTCCTCTGTGGGCTCTCACTGCAGATACAACCTCCCAGCCACTCTCTCCAAAGCAGGACCTCCACAGCTGTCCCACTAACACACCACTCTATCATAATCTGTGAATTGGCATACGGTTGTTATTCTCTTATTTATCACAGTCTTGTTTCATGCTTCTTGCTTCCTGTCATTTCTTTCCTTTTCCCACTAACATTAAGCTCCAAGAGGGCAGATCCACTCATATATTCATTGTTTCATCAACCCTTCCTAGTGCCTGGCATGAAGCAGGCAACTCACAAAGACTGATTGGTCAATGAATGTATCTTCCATTCTTTTCCTCAATTACATGATTACTTTGAATAAGTATGTATATTGCAGTCAGGAAGCAGTATGGTACCTTTTGGAAGATCAACAGATGAATGGCTGAATGCCAGTGGCTGTCTAAAGAAAACAACATTTGGTGCTGACTTCCCCTCTTTTTCACTTCTGCTCACTCAGTCCTGATTGAGAGCTGAACATTCCTTACGCTGGTTTGACTCATTTCTCTTTATAAAGGATCGGCACACTGAAGTAACAAGACTTCATTAACTACCACTAGAGGAAAATGTAAGAATCAACTGTTTTGATACATGGAGACTCTGTGTGCATTTTCATTTTCAGAAAAGCACTTTCAGGTAATAATTACCTATTTTCAGCCAATAAAGGACACAAGGAAATTCATTTCTTACAATGGAAGAGCAGTGGACCAGGTTTCAAGTTGAGTTTGACAGGTAACTGGCTGTATAACCTTGGAGGAGACACTTTCCTTCTCTGAGTCCCACACACAACATCTGAAAAGTAAGAGAGTTAAATTCTCTCCTCTCCAAGTTTTTCCCTGCCTCAATTTCATGCCTGTTAATCACATTTTCCTGCTCTTAGCCACACAGCAAAAGAGGGTACTGAGCATATTTTCCAAGCAGAAAATATTCACATTCTACAATTTTTCTCTTTTGCTGATTTTTCAAATTAACATAAAGTGTAAAGTTTCCTATTGCTGAAAATACTGACATGTGAGCTACTTCACAGTCTGTGTTTTCCCCTCTGGAGTTAAAAGAGTGACCAATGGAAACCAACTAATGAGACCTGATAGTGGATATCATACTTCCGTGTTTAGCCACTGTGAAGGACGCTGCTGTGTAACGAGAATGTTTAATCCCGCCAGCAAGAACGATAAAAACAAGCGGGATGTGGAAATCTCTGAAGAACTGTTAAATATAGATTCTAAGTTAGAGACCTGTGAAATGTGTTAAGCACAGATCAAACATGCAGAATGTAAGGCTGCTGAGCATAGAAAAGGGGATTAAAGTGTGACTTACAGGTAGAATGGGGTGGAAGGACCAAGTCACCATGTGTAAAACAAGTCACCTTCAGAATGACAATTGTGTTGTCCCTGAATCTGAAGCTCATCGCTGGCCTTCATTCAACTCCTGTAGACCCCACATGTACTCTTTTCAGGTAACACCATCCGAACCATTCTCTGCACGTCATGTTACCTGGCGAACCACAGTTACCTGTCACAAGCATGTTGGCTCCAGGCACCTCCCTTTTACTGAACCCCTTCTCTACTGTGAGATCCAGTCCTTGTCACCCCAACATCATCAGGAAAGCTGATACATCAGAGAGAGGGGAGAGAGGGAGGGGGAGCGGGAAAGGGAGACAGGAGAGGGAGAGGAATAAGAGAGGGAGAGGGAGAGGGAGGCTCTGAATATATAGATAATGCATAAATGTGGGTGCCCTTCTCTGCTCATCATACCCTCCCTCAGTGTGCTAACCTGCATCTCTCTCTCTCTCTACTTTCTCCTGGATTTTGCAAATTGATTATTCAGTAAGCTACAGGATTCCAATGTTTGAATTTGGCCCACCTCTGAGCGTTTTCCCTGTGTGACCTCTAGTACTGAAGTCTACCATTGTACTGAGGCAGTTTTCCAAGCAGCAATTATTTAAAGCAAATGTCATTCAGTTTTTTAGACAAAGAGAGGAAATATTACCCCAAATACTCTGAGACTTGGCGAAATCTAGTTACCATATGCTAACTCAGTAGCAAGGGTTAATTGCTTTTTCCTTCCTAGGATGAAAATGGTGTCCAGTCATTTTTAAAACAATACTAAAAATGCTAATGTGCTAATTAAACACCAGCAAAA